TTTAAAACAGATCTTCTACACATTCAACCAGCACCAAACAATGGTACCCATGGTAGTTTAAACCATCTTCTGAAGGCACCTTTTTATGAGCCATCCCACCCAGAGGAAGTGTCGAAGTCTTCTGTTTGCGGATTTACCGATCCACTGCCCACAGATTCTCTAGAATGCTCATGCCCTGAGCTACAAAAAGTAAGTAATAACTTCATGCGTCCATAAGAATGTAAAGGGACAAGCTCGTCTATAATGGGGGTGGTGGATAACCATGGTACCTGACAGACAGTTTGTGTCGTGGATCAGATATTTACTATGTATGTGATTTCTCTGAACCTTATCTGTAAATGAGAGGTTATGATGCATTCATTATAGGACTAAGTATGAGAATGCGCTTTGTAAACTGGAAAGCACTATTTAGAAATTAATGGTTACTTAACAGTAGAATTAATTAACAAATTAATTATTAAAAAACAGTAGAAACTTGAATCTATCTTTGATTTCCCTCAGACTGTTCCTCTTTTTTTTATTACGCTTTAGGTGAAAACTTACAGAGAAAATTAGTTTCTCATTAAAAAATTTATACACAAATTGTTTCATGACATTGGTTGCAATCCCCACAATGTGTCAGCACTCTCCACCTTTCCACCCTGAGTTACCAGTTTAGACCACTTCTCTTACAGCTTCAGAAACAGATGGTCATGCTTGGTTATTTAGAACAGAAGGAGCAGGGAGGGAGTAGGGAGGATGTTTCTCTTAAAATAGGGATCTGGCATTAGATACACTCACTAACAGGAAATGCTCACAGGAAAGCCTGGCACTCACAAGAGGTCTGGCCTTATTCCAGATAAATCCAGATAAGCAGTTGACAGGGAGAATCACAGATGAAAGCAGTGGAGAATCCCTCTTAGGGAACACTTGGAAGCAGGCCACCAGACAGTCAGCATTGGAAAGGTCCCTTTAGTGGATCAGGCACCAGACTCAGGAGCAGGAGACTCTCAACAAGGCAAGATTCCAGCGCTATAGGAGGGTCCTAAGGACAGGGAATCAAAACATAAGGACCCAGCCTACCTGTGAGAATTAGAGAATGTGAGTGGGGATGGAATTTCAGAATGAAATTGGAGCCCAGGTATCAGGAATTCATCAAGCTAAGTCAAATTCTAAGGTGGATTTGATGCCTAGTTCAATATATGACTGTAGAGCTAAATAAACATTTGCTACCTCAGGTAAAAATTATTCCTTATGGCGAGGGGTGGACAAAGACATTACATTCTCTAATCCTCAAAATAACATTTATATAGAGGGGGTATTTTATTCCTCATATTATAGATTTTTATAATATAGGCCCTTTTTAGGGCTCAGAGATGTTAGGTAAATTGCCCAATGTCAAGGAAGCTTGATCTAAATTCCAAACTCTAAATTCTTCTCTGTAAATAATACCCCTTACTACTCAAATTGTCATTTGCAAGCTCATTAGAGACAGAATCTCAGACCCTGTCTCAGGCTTATTTTATCAGAATCTGCATTTTAATAAGATCCTCAACTGACTTGTATGCACATTAGAGCTTGAGAGGCACTGAAGGTTGCCATCCCAGTTTGGGAGCTGATTCCAACTGTGGTTGAAGCTTTGCCCTGTTTTCAATTATATCTTTGCAAACCCACATACAAAAAAGTATACGGGAAGTATGTCAGAGTTAGTGGCAGAATCGGAATTTAAACTCAAGTTAGTCTGGCTTCTTTGTTCAGTAGTACAATATTTTGTGTGATTACTGCAGAAATGTTCTTAATCAGCCTTTAAAACCTGTGTTATTACTTCGACTTACTCCCCTCCCTCACTCCCTGTTATCTTGTAGAAAACTGTTCTAGAACGCGTGAACCAAAGGCTAAATCTCACCTCAGATGAAAGTAAGTCAATAGAAAGTGTGTTAAGTTTTTGATGTTTAGGTCTCTGTGAGGCTCCGTATGACTCCATTTTTGTTCTCACCTGTCTCACAATTCCTCCTGGTTCTTCCGTTTGGAGTGGCCATCATCCAGTTTCATGCCAGAACTGCTTCAAAACAAAACACAACATTACCTTTTTGTCATTCCCCAAAATAAGCTCACAGAGCCTTTTGAATATAAAGATTTTATTGTCAATATACAGGAGGAAAACAACAGATCCAATAACAGTGATAAGCATGGGGTAGTTGCAAAGGTTCCAGGAACATACCTTCCTTGAAATGATTGTGCCACATCTGCAGTCTCCTATTCTCTTTCTCAGATGTGAACAGGCCCATGGCCTGGGTTTGAGTCCTATCTCTATTACTTCCTGGCTTTGTAACCTGGGACAAATTACTTAACCTCTCATTTATAATAACAATACTACCCATGCCAGGCAGATGTAAAGATTAGAGTTAATCCATGGAAAGAATTTAGAAGTGTTCCTGGCCTATAGCGGCAATATTATCATTACCTGTTGTCTTTTAAGTAGTCTAATTACTTGTGGTGAAAATTTGTGATTCTCTTGACCAACTCGTATTCTAACCTTTCTTTGAGAAGAGAACCTCCCATATCCATCTCTCCCATCCCACTGGCTCTCAATTTCTTCCCTGATAGACCCATACCATGAGTCCCTGGCTGGTGAAAATGGTAAATGCACTCACTGCTAACCAAAAGGTTGAAAGTTGGAGGCATCTTGGAAGAAAGGCCTGGCGATCTACTTGGGGCCACTATGACTCCATGGCAACTGGTTTTTAATTTTTTTTTTAATACACATCCTAGAGGGATAAGCCACTCTGACATTAGCACACAATGACCAATCACATTAGAAGGGGCCACCATACTTCCCTAAAGGGTATATCGAATTCTTTGGTGGAAGGGGAGGATTATGGAGTTCAATAAAAATCCTTCTAACCCAGATTTTTACTCTGGTTGCACATTAGAATCACTGGTAGAGTTAATTTAAAAACAAACAACAGAAAGACAAAATAAAAATTCCTATGGCTGAACTCTACCTTGAGAACATTTGATTGTTTTGGTGTGTGGCCCTTGTATCATTGTTAATTTAATAAGCTCCCTAGGCTATTATTATATCGTGCAGCCAGGGTTGAAAAACACTAGTCAAACCCAAATGAGAAAGATTATATATTCATAGCTACTGAATTTTTCCTGGCTTAGGAAAAACAGCCAGCAGTATAATAGGACTTTACAAAGGTTTTATATGCATAATCTTACCATATTTAATTTAATCTTCAAAACAACTAGGTAAAATAGTAGCTATTATCCCCATTTTATAGGTGAGGAAACTGAATTCACATCCTGCTTGTGTAAAATTGTTTTATTTGAAACTGTAAACAGGTACTAGATCACTGGAGTTACCTATGTATCTGTACATGTCTGTGGGTCTGTCTATGTAGCTAGCCATGATAATTGTGTTCTCAAGGCTTCAGAAGAGGCCCTTACAGTTCATTTATTCAAAAAATATTTATTGACTGCCTACTGTGTGCCAGCACTCTTCTGTGTTCTGCGGATACCATAGTGAACAAACCAGATAAAACTTCTGACCTTGTAAGCTTTATATTCTTTTGATAATAATATTATGTTCAGATTTTTTTTTAACTGTCTTGTCGCTCTTTTGATCACTCCTAAGTTTATACAATGCCAGCTAAAAAAGATACCTCATCCGTTTCCATTTGTTTACCATAGGTTCTGCTGAGTAGTAAAAAAACAAAACAAAAAAAAAAAAAAACAAACCCATTGCCATTGAGTTGGTTCTGACTCATAGTGACCCTGTAGGACAGAGTAGAACTGCCCCATAGTGTTTCCAAGGAGCGGCTGGTAGATTCAAACTGCCTACCTTTTTGGTCAGCAGCCGAGTTCTCTGGTAAACCATGGCTAAGGAGCCTGCCTGCCGCAAGTGTCTTCATCAGAGGCACAGAAAAAACTAACATAAAGATAGTCTACTTATACTTTAATGAAAGTTAAACTTATTTATAAACCAACACTATATTAGCATTTGGGAGCAATTAATAAACAAAAAATACTTATGAGGGCAAATTATTAATAAAAATAACAAAATGGGTACAAAAAAACTCTTTAATAACTTTCACTAGCTCTCTCTAGTCTGAGGCAAGCCACTTTACCTGAGCATAATTTTCTGCTTTTAAAAAATAGTATTTTGAATTAAGAATCTAAACAGACTCTGTGGTTCTAAATAATTAGAAAAATATGTCAAATGCTATGAAGTTTTTAAAGAGGTCACATGATAAATGTGGAAAAAGACTGCTTTCAAACCGAAAAACACACCAGGGTTTATTTCAATCCCTGCTTTCCTGATAGACTTGGGCAAGTCACTTAGTTTTTTTCAGTCTTTGATATCTTATTTGTAAACTAAGGATAATCCTTTCAGCTAAGTCATAGAATTTTTGGGTGGGTCAAATAAGATTATGTATAGGGGCTTTATAAATTTGAAAAGGATTATATAAATCTAAGTAAAGGTAAAATGAAGCACAAATGCACATCAGATCACTTAGACAAAAAAGTTTAGTGCTTAATATATTATAAACATTTATTAACACATTGAATGGTAGTATACTAGAAAATATTATACAGGAAAAAATATTCTAGGATAATTATTGTATCCTAGACAAGTCCATGAAAACCAAACTCATTGCTGTTGAGTAGAATTCTGACCCATAGCGACCCTATAGCACAGAGTAGAACTGCTCCACAGGGTTTCTAGGGCATAAATCTTTACAGAAGCAGACTTCCATATCTGTTTCCTGTGGAGCAGCTGGTGGATTGGAACGGCTGACCTTTCGGTTAGCAGCCGAGCGTTTAACAACTGTGCCACTGGGCTCCTTCCTAGAGAAGTACTTCTCAAATTTTAACATGCATATACATCGCATTGATCTTGAGATTTTACCCTGGTGGCAAAGTGATTAAAGAGCTTGGCTGCTAACCAAAAGGTCAGCAGTTCAAATCCACCAGCTGCTTGTTGGAAACCCTATGGGGCAATTCTACTCTGTCCTGTACGGTCGCTATGAGTCGGAATTGACTCAAAGGCAATGGATTCGATTTGTAATATATCCTGTGAGCTTTAGAAATAAGGAACCAGAGAGAACAGGCTTCAGATCCTTGCTTAGCCTCTTGCTTGGCCAACTTTCTAAACCTTAGTTTTGTAATCTACAGAATGGAATAATAACACCTACCTCATAGGTTTGTTATAAGAATCAAAAGAGATTATGTAAAATATTTATCAGAGTACTTGACACATAATAAGCCGTTAAATAGTGGTACTTATTGTATGCATATAAGCATTTGCTGATTTCACAAACATTTGTTTTGTATTTTCACCTTAGTAACAGCAACAGAGAAAGAAAATATGCCGTTTGGGAGGCCCAGGGTTATGCAGAAGAACAAAGAACATTGTCTCCTTTACCACAGAGAATATGTGAGTGGATTTGGAAAAGCTATCAGAATGCCCATGTGGAGCTCATATACAATCCCTAAGCCGGTAAGTCTCTAAGTCCATTGTTCCATGCAGCTGGAAAAAATTAGTAATGCTTTAATATTCTAAGAGTTCTTGGGTTGTGAAAACGGTTAATATGCTCAGCTGCTAACCGAAGGGTTAGAGGTTCAAGCCCGTCCAGAGGTGCCTCAGAAGAAAGGCCTGGCAAACTTGCTTCTAAAAAGTCAGCCATTGAAGATCCTATGAAGCACAGTTCTACTCTGACAGACATGGGGTCACCATGAGTCAGGATTGACTTGACGGTAACTGGTTTAATATTCTATGAGTTGAACATTGGTTTGCAGTGGTGGTCCCAAAGAAAGATCACTGGCCAGTGACTTATAAGACAACGTACCAGGTATAACATAAAGGTGTCGTGGGAGTGCAGAACAGTAAAACATTGCATTCTGAAATTAGAAAGTGTTTACTGGCCAATTGCTAAAGCTGGTAGGAAAGAACATTTCAAAAAGAAGAAACAGGAAGGACAAAGGCACACAACTCATTTGGTTTTTCCTAAGTATATGGTGGATGCATCTAGAAGGTGATGGTAACTAGATAACGAGGGCTTTGTGTTTGATTATTAATTCATTTAACAAACACTTTACTATCTGCTGTGTGCTGTGGTAGGCACAGGGAACACAGTGTGAACAAGATGTAATCCTTCCTGAAGGACCCAACCCTCTAATAAGTCAGGCTAGACATATATATATACAGGTGTGTTATGTCACAGATCTCTCCAAACCGATGTCAGGAATCCACTTGTTCAAACACTTGTCCCTTTTCAATAAATGGTGCTGAGACAGTTGAGTAAACGTAAGGAAAAAAAATTGAAATTAGATCCCTACTTCATATCATATGGAGTTCCTGGGTGGTACAAACAGTTAACGTGCTTGGCTTCTAACCAAAAGGCTGGAGGTTCCAGTTCTTCCAGAGGTGCCTGGGAAGAAAGGCCTGGTGATCTACTTCTGAAAAATCAGCCACTGATAACTCTATGGAGCACAGTTATTCTGACACACATGGAATCGTCATGAGTCGGGATCAACTTGATGGCAACAGGTTCATATCATACACAAAATTAAATTACTACTGAATTTATAGACAGACCTAAATTGACGAGTGAATCCATATTTCCTTTGTATGTGTCTTTATGACATTGGGATAGACAAAGATTTCTAAAAACACAAGAAGAAAAAACAGAGGGAATTGAATAATTTTACAACACTGATATAAATGTGTGACAGACAAAGTTATGGATGGGGAAATAACTTTGCATTGCATGTAAGAAAAAAGTAATGAAGTATCCAGAAGAGTAATTAGGATCCAGAATACCTAATAAGAATGTATGAATAAACAAGACAATGACAAGCATCTTAGCTGATAAATGCGCAAAGGATATGAACCAAGCAATTCAACCTCATTAGCTATCAGGGAAATATAAATTAAAGCAAAAATCAAAGTCTGCCGAAATTTGATCTGAACATTCTTTCAGAGCAGGGATGGTATTATTGAATGTACCTCCAGCACAGTAAAGCTGCTGAGTAAATGCTTATGAATAAATGCATTGGATGAATTAATCACAACCATTATTTAAAAAAAAAAAAAAATTTGTTTTAAGGGCAAAATGTTTCTCCCAGCCAGAAATGTAAGTAAGTCAGAAAGCTGTTTTTATAATCTTACTATTTTAGATTCAGGGACTTTGATGACAAACCTCTAGCTGTTATTGTTCTTGTTAAGGATACAGATATTCTGCCTCTTTTTATGGAAAGGAAGCTGGTTGTATCTGGTTTATCTACTCTTCTTGTTCCAACTGAAGATTTTTGAAAAATAAGCATATTGTCCCACCATTGATTAAAGCTTTGTGTGTTCTAAAAGTCAAACTCTGCTGCTGACAACGGTTCACTTGTGGTCACTGGTAGCACAGTGCTAATGTTGTTCATGTTCCAATGTGGGCAAATATTTTACAGTTACCTGAGTTAATTTGTATGGCTGGTGGCAACATTACTTTCTTAATATGCACAATGTTCAGTGTTTTTTTATTTTCCTCAGCATGCCACATTTCTTAAAATAATTTCTATGTTGTTCTTTTTTCTTGGAGGGGGGCCATCTTCAAGAAGGTCAGTTTTCCTGTGCCTCACTCAATTCTCTGTTTGAAAAATGTACAAGGGATTGTACGGAGTTAAGGGGAATGTTTATGTGTTCAATACTTTTCCTCTGGAGTCTTGCATTCCTGAATTTATATGAGCTTTGGCGGAAACCAAAGGCAGAGAGATTTTAAGGTGGCTAACAGACTAAAAGTTTGGTACAATTCTTTTTTGTTGTTGTGTTAAAAAACTAGCTTTTTGTTACCAAAAGTTCTTGTCCTTTTATTGATCCCACAGAACTCCTTATGTATTTCTCCCTCTACGTGATGGGATGGAATTCTAGCAATTTTCTGCTTTCTAATTCAGAAATTCCTGTTAGTATGTTGTGGTTCACAAAAATTACATACAAGGATGTTTTGAGATTCACATAAAAATGTTGTAAATCAGCTCTGTGTTTGAAAAATCAGGCTTTAAATAAGCGCTTTTTGGAACATGGACCCAGTTGGCCTGTGCCTCTAAGTTTTATGGAGCTTTTGTTTTTCTGTGGCTTTGGTGGGTTTTCTAATTTTTGTTGTTGTTATTATCTCAGAAGAGTTCTAAGGAAGTAGCTGTAATTTGAAATCATGGTCTTACAATAACTGCTTCAAAGCCGTTGAGGCTAATCAGGCCATGTACGGGTTTTGCTTCTGGCCCTGCTCAGTAGGAAGATGTGAAATGTGTTGTGTTGTTATTGTTGCTAGGTGAAAAACTGAAAATAAAAGCAAGAATTACAATTATTGTTAAAATAAATACTTAAGAAATTTAATATGGAATCAAAGGACTTTTTCAGAGAAGAAAATCTAATGTACCTTGAAAATGCATATATATGTACACACACAGATGTAAAATATTCCGTATCATTGAATTTTTAAAAAGTCTTTTTTGTTTCTAATGTTTTTTTGGTATCTTTGACATTATGATTATTGACCCAGTCATGTTTTTGTGAGTCTTTAAGAACTAGAGACTTTATCCTGCCAAAAAAAAAAAAAAAATTACAGGAACAGAAAAAAATTCCAGAATGTATATAGTTATTATCTTATCATAAGGCAAGACCATAATTGCTCAATCTTCAAATAAGTTTAGCTTTTACATTCAGCCTACAGATAAGGAGAGTCTATAACTTCAATAAATGATCTTTTCCTCTGTTCACGTTTACTTTCCTGTCTCTGTTTATCATCCACTTACTCCTGAAGAATTTTAAGGACTAGGGAGTTCAGATTTTATCTGAGCACCTAAGTTCTGTTGTTTTACTGACGTTTTATTCCTTAGTTTCAAGAAGTCCCAGGAACCTTGAAAATACGGCAGGACTGAAGTGTGTTTGGGGTGGTGGTGGTTCACTATTGTCTTCTTTCTGAGACCAAGACTCAGAAATGACTTAACTATACCTCCTCTCTATCTTTCTTGAAGGCTATCTGTTACATAATGTCACCTTTGTAAGGCAACCACATCCTGTCTTTGCTAGTCTTGATGCGCTTTTATTATGTGGTTGAAGTTTGGTATGTAAGAAATGAGGATTTTCAGAAAGCAGAGAAAGTACATTTTTTCAGTGCTTTCCATCTGAAGATATCATGGTCCATTTGCCCCAATCCCAAGTCTGTGCCACATGGAAAAAGTAACAAACATTTTACTCAACTAAATTGTCTGATCACAGCTTCCACAGTTAATTATTTCAATGAGACTATGTGGTTTAATATTGGATTCAGATTAGAATAAAGAGACTAATAACACTTAATTATATTAATATTTCCCTTGGCATTATTACCATTTAATTATGCACTTAAAATTACAATAAACTTTTAAATTCTTATAATTTTAACTGTTGGAATATAGGCATTTAATTTCTTTACATTATGGAACATGTAGTTATGGCTACTTTTATACGTTGTATAATTCTTTAAGAAGCAGTTACTAAACATGAAATGTTAGAGTAAAATGATGAAGATGTGTGATAGGAAGCATCAACTCATAATATTCTGGGTGTTTATGGGGCTGATTCAGTCAGCAATTGATATTCCGCATACTCCTATTGTACAACATCTGCACGTGCCCTTTTAAAACTAAGTGGAGAAAACTGGTCATTCACCACTATTTACTATGTTTTTGAAAAAACCACAAACAAGTGTTTTTAGCATTCCAGCCTCTGCCTTTAGAAGGAAAAACCTGTTGCTGTGGCGGCAATTCTGACTCGTAGAACTGCCCCATAGGGTTTCCAAGAAGCAGCTGGTGGATTTGAACTGCAGACCTTCTGGTTAGCAGCCGAGCTCTTAACCACTGCACCTTCAGAAGGAGAGTGAAATGAATGGCAAGATCCAGTCCATTCAATCTAACACCAGTTATATTTGTATTTCTTGGTTTACCGTATTTCTTGTTTTTATGAACTCAACAGATCACCCAGGAGTTTACAAAAAAAGGAATAAGGGAAAATATATTTTTGAGACTTTGTATGCCTCAAAATGTTCTCTATCTATTGATTTAATTGGTGATTTGACTGGCTTTTTAGAATTTTAGGAGTAATTTTTCCTTCAAAAATTAATAGGACATTAGACCTAGACTGATACTCTAATTTTTTTAATATTTTTTTCTATTTGTTTTCTACCTCTTTTTCTTTTGTTCCACTTTTTGAAAACTATCTGAAACTTCATCTTCTAAATCTTTTTGAATGTTTTATTTGTATCATATTTTTTAGAATATCCAGAGTTCTTTGTGCTCTCTCCCCCGCCCCGCCTTTTTTTTTTTTTTTTTTATTAAATTGTGCTTTAGACGAAAGTTTACAGAGGAAACTAGTTTCTCACTGAACAATTAATACACATATTGTTTCGTGACATTGGTTGCCAACCCCGCTATGTGTCAACACTCTCTTCTTCTCAGCCTTGGGTTCCCCATTTCCATTCGTCCAGCTTTCCTGTCCCCTCCTGCCTTCTCGTCCTTGTCCCTAGGCTGGTGTGCCCATTTAATCTCGTATACACGGTTGAGCTACGTGTACTATTGTTTGTTTTATGGGCCTGTCTAATCTTTGGCTGAAGGGTGAACTTCAGGAGTGACCTTAGTACTTAGTTAAAAGGGTGTCCGGGAGCCATACTCTCAGGGTTTCTCCTGTCTCTGTCATACTAGTAAGTCTAGTCTTTTTTTGGGAGTTTGAATTTTATTCTACATTTTTCTTCCACTCTCTCAGGGACCCTCTATTGTGATCCCTGGCAGAGCAGTCGGTGGTGGTAGCTGGGCACCATCTAGTTGTGCTGGACTCAGTCTGATGGAAGCTGTGGTAGTTGTGGTTAATCCTTTGGGCTAATCTTTCCTTTGTGTCTTTGGTTTTCTTCATTCTCCCTTGCTCCAGACGGGGTTCTCTATTTCTCTTTTTATTGCTTTCTGTTCTTTATTTATGGTTTCCATAAAGATCTCATTTCTCTGAGAAAGGAGTTTTCTTCTGCTCTCTGCACTGTGTTTTTCTTCTTAGTTCTTCTTCTCCCTACTGTCAAATGTCCTGTGGTCCTTGGCTGTTCATTTTTTAAGGGTGAGGCACCAAACTACATGGTTGGGCTTGCCAGTTGATCAGTTTTACTATAGCTTGGTCAAGAAAGTACCCAGCCAGTTTGTTGAGGAACCCAACTGTCAGTAGCTATAATTTTCCTCTTGTGCTGGCTATTTTTCCACAAAGAGGACTCTTCTAATCTGACCCAGTGTCTATAAAATTGGCAACCTACACTGGGCAAAGAGCCTGGGAGGAGTCTTTTCATCCAGTATGTACATTTTTATTTAAATTCATTGTTTTCCAAATGGTACACTTCCTCTCAGCTAGCTGTGGCTTGTGTTCTCCAGGCTGGCAGTCCCTCTGGTTCAACCTCTCCAGAGAGTAAACATTCTGTCTGGCTTCTTTTACAGACTTTCAACCTACCCTCTTGTTTCTAGCCCTATTTACAGCCCCTATCTTTAGGAGACCACAGGTTCTAAACCCATCTGGGGTTCTAAGGAATCTGCTTCCTTGTGCTTTCCCCAATCACAGGCTCTTGGTTGTCAGTGTTTGCTCATCTATTATGTCAGCTTACTATTAGTTGATCTGCTTTCCAGCTTCTGAAAATTTCTTGTCAACTCTCATGTGTGTTTATCATTGCTGTCATATTAGTGCGATTTCAGAAGGGAGTAGAAATAAATGTTTGTGTTCAATCTACTATGTTTTACTCAACTTTTGTATTGTGTTTTTCAAATGGAGTGGTACAGTATGTTAGGGGTGCAGTCTCTACATGGCTTTCCTCGCACTCCCCTCACCTTCAGTTCTCACCTATTCTATACCTTAGCATGGTACTTTCCTGCCTAGGCATATAGCACACAATGTACAGTTGCCTTTTCTTTTGTGAATTGATCTCATACATTTTAGACACTATGACTAATTTTTGCTTTTACTACAAAGTGGTGAATAGAGCAAGAACATTCTAATTTAACTTAACCTTCTTGTTTATAAATTATTTTGAGCTTTGTTAAGAAGGATATCCTACGTGTATAGTTAGAGGCCATGTAGATAAAAATATCTTTGAAAAATTCTGATGAAAATCAAAATGCTCACTCACCCATGATGACACGCTAATCAAAATATAATGATCATGTAATACTGTATTACTTTAAATATTTGGGCCAGGCAGTACATTTATAGGATGTCTCCTGCTGAATACATGATTATACTAGTCTTTAACTATGACTACAAAGAAAATTATACAAAATACAGCGTGTATAGAAAAATTATAGAAATGAAGCATAACCACAGATTTCTTTCAATCCCCAAATATGTAAGATCAGACCACTACAGCTTTTTAAAAATAATCTTAAATTGGTTAGAAGTCCTTACTCAGCTGAAAACAGTTCATATCTGTGTTTTTCAAATAAATTGTTTACATTTTACATTAAGTTTTGATTTACAAGTACAACAGATGTCACCACATAGAAGTTAGATCCTGAAAAGGATTTTGGTTTTTAGCAATAGCTCCTGTTATTCCTCTGGTCTCAATTCAGATTTTACTCTGCAAATATTTCTTTCTAATGTGTATTTGATTTGCCCTCTCAGTGTCCTTATCCAGAAGGGAACCACAGAAGAAAACACTCTGAAGACACCCATTTCCACTGCTACGTAGAACTGATTCACTAAGAAAATAGGAAAAGGTTAAATGAAAAACATTGTAGGGAAGTTACAAACCATATAAGGCAATGGGTGAGCCACATAATTTTTTTTTTCTTTTCTCTCTTTCAGGAGGGAGACACATCACCTCTTCCTTCCCCTGTCTCAGACTGTCTGCGGGCTGATGTCAGGGTCACTCCTTCTGAGAGCCAAAAATGTTCCTTCTATTTAGCGGACGAGAATATCACCCACGGCTTCCTCTATCCTCCTGGTTAGTAGTGTAACTCTTTCAGAGCAGTGTCTTAGAAAGCCCTCATCAGCTGGATGTGGGCATGTGCCTTAACATATATTCCCTACCAAACTGCCTGCTTGGGCTAAACTAGCTGCCTAGGCGGCTTTCAGTGGTTGTGGACTGGCGAGAGGCAGTACAACAGCCATAATAAAGTCTAATAGATTTTGCAGCTCTAATCTGGCCCAGATGCTGAGAGAGTTCAGCAGGTTTAAGTTTAATTTTAAAACTGAAGATTCCTTGGAGAAGGACACAAACATCTAAACTAAACATTTTTTTCTGGCTACTGCCCAGCTGAGGCCCGCCCTGAGAATGCAGCTGTGCCTGTGAAAAGGAATCAGGCCAGAACCTGGCCTCTCACTCACGCTATGTATCCAACAATTTTAAACTGTGGATTAAGAAGCTGAATAAACCTTAAGTTTTTTGGAAAGCATCTCTCCTGGGGACATCCAAAGTCAGTGTGATTTTTCTAAAACTCAAATGTCTTCCCTGTTTACCAGGAAATGTCATTTTTCATTAACTTGCCCAAGAGATTAGCAACAATTTCAGCTTCTTGGAATTGGTTTTATTTCTGATATTTTGCTTATTTTCCTTCAAACTGTGACCAAATATGGTTAATTTAGAAATCTATAATTTAGAGATTCAGAGATTTATAGTGGGAAAAAGGCTTAAGGAAAGCAAGTAGCACAGCCTTTGAAAATTTCTAAAACAGAATTAGGATAAAGACACTGATATTTAAGTATCTAGATGGAATGAGAGTTCACAAATTTACGTAAAATCTAGGATAAATCTTTAATAGTTGCAACATTTTGTTGATCAAAATTTAAAATTGTATTTGCTAAACCATCAGATATTGGTTGATACATAAATGTTTGCCTTGACAAGGAAATGAAAAGAGTAACTAAGCAACTTGCCTTTCAAAAAGTATTAAAGGTAAAATGAAACTCCCTTCTGACTCTCCACTATGAATTCTAGCTAATTGGTTAGAATCAGAAACTCTATTACAAGCAAATGTTCATATTTATTTGAAACAGAGGTAATATTATAGTGATTGCCTTCCCAAATTTCACAGCTTAGTGTAAAAAGTAGAAAAGGTTTATTGGGATCTTGAGGGCCTTAAACTCCATGTGAAATCTTATGAGAAGAAAAAAAAAAAAGACTTATTTCTTCTTGTTTTTGGTGTCGAATGGGTGCATAGGTCTCTGATGTAAGTATTAGTTAAGATACCTACTCAAGCGTAGTTTAAATACAAACAGTATTATAATAAACATTTATAGGTTTGCAGGTCTTCATCTAACATTTCTATGAGATAGATACCAGGAGACAAATGAAACATGGAAGGACCAGTCCCTTTGCTCATGTGGTGCAGCTGAGGAGCTGAAGAGCTGGGCTTCCAGCCTGGGCAGCCTGGATTCAGAGCACACACACTTAATGCTTACCATGCTGGACACATGTTTGTCAGGTCTCAGAGGTGATAATTTGTGGTCCTCCTGCCAGCTGTCTTTATTGAGCAAAAACTCATTTTCTTCAGGAAATTTTATTTTGGAATAGCATTATTTATAAAAGCATTATTATTTTGTGCACATTAAATAACTATACATACATCCGTGTCTGGTATTATATTCATTTTCTATGGCTGCTGTAACAAATTTCTAGACTTGGTGGCTTACAACAAGAGGAAGCCCAAAATCAAGGTGTCAGCAGGGTCATGCTTTCTCAGAAGGTTCTGGGGGAGAATCCCTCCTTGTGTCTTCCAGCTCCTGGTGGCTTCTGGTGTTGCTTGGCTTGTGGCTATATCACTCCAATCTCTGCCTCCCTTTTCACATGACCTCCTCCTCTCAAATCTTCCTATCCTTTCTCTTATAACATTAGTCATTGGCTTTAGGGCCTACCCTAAATCCAGGATGATCTCATTTCAAAACCCGAATTTAATTACATCTGCAAAGACCCTGTTTCCAAATAAGGTAACATTGACAGGTAGCAGGAGTTAGGACACAGACATATCTTTGCTGAGGTCACCTTCGACCTACCACAGGTATCAATAATAACCTCTACTGAGAGTACTTAGTACTTCTGCATTTTGTAGTACCTCTACATATTGCTTTAGTATGCAGTAGAATTAGGCCTTTTATACAGTATATCATATTTTCTTTTATAGTTAAATTTAATAAAATTCATTTGTTTTGCAGCAAACAACAGAACTTCTGAAGGTCAATATGATGCTTTAATTACAAGTAATTTGATCCCTATGTATGAGGAATTCAAAAGTAAGTATATATTCAGATTATTATCTTTAAATTGCTAAGTGATTTCCTGAATGTCCAAATTAAACACATCTTTTATCACGATTTATTCCTGATAGTAAGAGCCATTTTGTTCTAATGTTTTAAGTAGAGTTCAGGAAAGATCCCTGGAATAGTTTGTTTTAAATTTGCTTCAATTTTGGCTGACTTGTTGCTAGAATTCTGATAATTTGTTTTTAATCCCTAATTTAACAATTCACCCCTTGTCTGACAGTTTGTCGTACTGTGGTGGCTTATGTGTTGCTGTGATGCTAGAAGCTATGCCATTGGTATTCAAATACCAGCAGATTCACCCATGGTGGACAGGTTTCAGTGGAGCTTCCAGACTAAGACTGGGAAGGACATGGCGATCTACTTCTAAAAAAACTGACCAGTGAAAACTTTATGGGTAGCAGTGCAACATTGTCTGATTTAGTGCCAGAAGATGAGCCCCTCAGGTTGGAAGGCACTCAAAATATGACTGGGGAAGTGCTGCCTCCTCAAAGTAGAATGGACCTTAATGACATGGATGGAGTAAAGCTTTTGGGACCTTCATTTACTGATGTGGCATGACTCAAAATGAGAAGAAACGGCTGCAAAAATCCATTAATAATTCATATTTAGTGGAATGCACTAAGTATGAATCAAGAAAAACTGGAAGTTTTCAGAAATGAAATGGAACACTTGAAGATTGATATCCTAGGCATTAGTGAATTGAAATAGACTGGTATTGGTCATTTTGAATCTGACAATCATACGGTCTACTATGCCAGGTGTCTTGGTTAGCTAGTACTGCTATTAACAGATATATCACAAGTGGACGGCTTTACACAGAAGTATTTATTTTCTCACAGTCTAGTAGGCCAGAAGTCCAGATTCAGGTCATCAGCTCCGGGGAAAGGCTTTCTTTCTCTTTGGAGAAAATTCCTTCTCATCAATCTTCCCCTGTACTAGGAACTTCCCTGTACAGGAACCCAGAGTCCAAAGGATGCGCTGTGCTCCCAGCTGCTTTCTTGGTGGTATGAGGTCTCTCTGTCTCTCTGCTCCCATTCATTCTTTTATATCTCAAAAGAGATCGGCTCAAGACACAATCCAATCTTGTAGATTGAGTCCTGCCTCGTTAATATAACTGCTGCCTATCCCACCTCATTAACATCATACAGGTAGGATTTACAACACATAGGAAAATCACATCAGATAACAAAACGGTGGACAGTCACACAATACTGGGAATCATGGCCTAGTCAAATTGATACACATATTCTGGGGGAACACAATTCAATCCATGACACCAGGAATGACAAGTTGAAGAGAAATGGCATCGCATTCATCGTCAAAAAGAACATTTCAAAATCTATCCTGAAATACAACACCTTAGTGATAGTATAATATGCATATATCTACAAGGAAGACCATTTAATACAACTATTTGAATTTACGCACCAACTACTAGTACCAAAGATGAAGAAATTGAAGATTTTTTACCAACTTGTGCAGTCTGAAATTGATCAAGCATGCAATCAAGATGCATTGATAATTACTAGTCATTGGAATGTGAAAGCTGGAAACAAAGAAGAAGGATCAGTAGTTGGAAAATATGGCTTTGGTGATACAAACAACCCTGGAGATTGCATGATAGAATATTGCAAGGCCAATGACTTATTCATTGGAAATACCTTTTTTCAGCAACAGAAACAGTGACTGTACATGTGGATCTCACCAGATGGAATACAGAGGAATCAAATCAACTACATTAGTGGAAAGAGATGATAGAGAAGCTCAGTACTGTCAAAACAGATCTAGGGGCTGACTGCAGAACAGACCAATAATTGCTCAAGTGCAAGTTCAAGCTGAAGATAATTATAGCAAGTCCACGAGAGCCAAAGTACTACCTTGAGTATATCCTACCTGAATTTAGAGACCATCTCAAGAAAAGATTTGACTCATTGAACACTAAAGACCAAAGACCAGACAAGTTGTGGGATGACATCAAGGATATAATATATGAAGAAAGCAAAAGATCATTAAAAAGACAGAAAAAAAAAAAAAAAGACCAAAATGGATGTTAGAAGAGACTCCTAAACTTGCTCTTGAGCATACAGTACTTAAAGCGAATGGAAGAAATGATGAAGTAAAAGAGCTGAACAGAAGATTTCAAAGGGCAGCCTGAGAAAACAAAGTATTATCATGACATGTGCAAAGACCTGGAGTTAGAAAACCAAAAGGGAAGAACATGCTCAGCATGAAGAAATATTCAAACTTTGAGTTGCAATATTGAAGAATTCCATGAGCAAAAAATTGAACGACACAGGAAACATCAAAAGAAGATGGAACGAATACATAGAGTCACTGTACCAAAAAGAAATAATTGAAGTTCAACCTTTTCAGGAGGTAATATATGTTCAAGAAACAATGGTATTAAAGGAATAGGTCCAAGCTGCACTGAAGGCATTAGTGAAAAATAAGGCTCCAGGAATTGACTGAATACCAATTGAGATGTTTCAACAAACCGATGTCACGCTGGAAGCGCTCACTCATCTATACCAAGAAATTTGGAAGACAGCTACCTGGCCAACCAACTGGAACAGATCCATATTTGTGCCTATTCCAAAGAAAGGTGATCCAACAGAATGTGAAAATTATCCAACAATATCATTTATATCACACCCAAGTAACATTATGCTGAAGATCATTCAAAAGCAGTTGTAGCTGTACATTCACACAGAACTGCCAGAAATTCAAGCTGGATTCAGAAGAGGATGTGGAACCAGGGATATCATTGCTAATGTCAGATGGATCCTGGCTGAAAGCAGAGAATACCAGAAAGATCTTTACTGTGTTCTATTGACTATGGAAAGGCATTTGACTATGTGGATCATAATAAACTATGGATAACATTGGGAAGGAAAGGAATTCCAAAACACTTAATTGTGCTCATGAGGAACTGTACATAGATCAAGAGGCAGTCGACCAAAGAAAACAAGGGGATAGTGTGTGGTTTAAAGTCAGGAAAAGTGTGCGTTGGTGTTGTATTCTTTCACCAAGCTTATTCAATCTTTATGCTGAGCAAATAATCTGAGAAGATGGACTATATGAAGAAGAATGCAGCATCAGGATTGGAGAAAGACTCATGAACAACCTTCATTATGTAGATGACACAACTGTGGAAAATGAAGAGGACTTGAAGCACTTCCTGATGAAGATCAAAGACTGCAGGCTTCAGTATAGATTACACCTTAACATAAAGAAAGCAAAAATCCTTACAACTAGACCTATAAGCAACATCATGATAAACAGAAAAAATATTGAAGGATTTTACTTTACTTAGATCCACAATTAACACCCATGGAAGTAGCAGTCAAACAATCAGATGATGTTCTGACAGGGATCACAATAGAAGGTCTGGGACAGAGCTGGAGAAAAATGTAGAACAAAATTCTAACTCACAAAAAGACCAGACTTACTGGCCTGACAGAGACTAGAGAAACCCTTAGAGTAGGGTCTGCAGAAACCCTGTTAGCTCAGTAATGAAGTCACTCCTGAGGGTCACCCTTCAGCCAAAGATTAGACAGGCCCATAAAACAAAATAAGACTAAAGGGGCACACTAGCCCAGGGGCAAGGACTAGAAGGCAGGAGGGGACAGAAAAGCTGGTAATAGGGAACCCCAGGTTGAGAAGGGAGACTGTTGACATGTTGTGGGGTTGGTAACCAATGTCACAAAATAATATGTGTACTAAATCTTTAATGAGAAGCTAGTTTGTTCTGTAAAGCTTCATCTAAAGTACAATAATAATAAATAAAAAAGAAATCAAATGATTATTGCATTGTGCAAATCTGCTGCAAAAGGCCTCTTTAAAGTATTGAAAAGCAAAGATGTCACCTTGAGGACTAAGATACGCCTGACCCAAGCCATGGTATTTTCAGTTGCCCCATATGCACATGAAAGCTGGACAATGAATAAAGAAGTTGGAAGAAGAATTGATGCCTTTGAATTATGGTGTTGGTGAAGAATATTGAATATATTGTGGACTGCTAAAGAACGAACAAACCTGTCTTGGAAGAAGTACAACCAGAATGCTCCTTAGAGGGGAGAATGGCGAGACTGTCTCACGTACTTTGAACATGTTATCAGGAGGGACCAGACCTTGCAGAAGGATATCATGCTTGGTAAAGCAGAAGGTCAGTGAAAAAGAAGAAGACCCTCAGTGAGATAGATTGACACAGTGGCTGCACCAATGGGCTCAAACATAGCAACCACCGTGAGAATGGCTCAGAACTGGGCAGTGTTTTGTTCTGTTGTACATATAGGGTCACTATGAGACGGAACTGATTGGATGGCACCCAAAAACAACCTAACAATTTAATGGTAAAGAGCTATTCACAAAGCTAAATTTTACTGATACCATAAGTAAATGTAAGTTTAATGTTTGTCCCAAAAGTCATCATTAACAAGGTAGTATGTGTGTTCTAAAAAGGAGCCCCTAACTAAAACCATTGCCAAAGCCCACTCTTCAGACAAAGATCAGACTGGACTATGAAACATAAAATAAGAGTGTGCTTTTTAGTTTAAGCAGATACACAAGACCAAAAGAGCAGCTCCTGTCAGAGGCAAGATGAGAAGGCAGGGACAGGATCGGGTTGGATGGACACGGGAAACCTGGGGTGGAAAGGGGGAGTATGCTGTCACATTATAGGGATTGCAGCTAGTGTCACATAAATTTTTGTATGAGAAATTAATTTGAACTGTAAACTTTCACTTAAAACACAATATAAATACCTAAATAAACAGGAGCCCTGGTGGCGCAGTGATTAACACACTCAGCTACTAACTGAAAGGTGGACAGTTCAAACCCACCAGCTGCCCCACAGGAGAAAGAATTGGCAGTCGGCTCTCGTAAAGATTACAGCCTTGGAAACTCTATGGGGCAGTTCTACTCTGTCCTATAGGGTCGCTATGAGTTGGAATAGACTCAATGGCAATGGTTTTATTTTTTTATTTATTTGTATTATGATCACTTTTAGCCAACACCCACTGTCCCAAAATACCTCAGCCTTAGGGTGGATTTGGAAACATTTTCAACTATAATTCCAAGACCGCAACAACGACAGCAACAAAAAGGTGTCATCGATGTGTTTTGGAGAATTACCCAATCACCAGTCCAAATTTTAGGTATTCATATAGTTATTTAAAAAATTTTTGTGTGCATTAGGTGAAAATTCACAGAGCAAATTAGTTTCTCATTTGATAGTTTGTATATAAAGTGTTCCATAACATTGGTTTCGATCCGGGGTTCCCTGTGTCCATTCATCCAGTTTTCCTGTCCCTTCCTGCCTCCTTCTCTTGCTTTTGGGCAGAAGTTGCCCATTTGGTCTCGTATATTTGATTGAACCAAGAAAGTATGTTCCTCACATGTGTTATTGTTTGCTTTATAGGCCTGTCTAATCTTTGTCTGAAAAATGGGTTTTGGGAGTGGTTCAAGTTAGCAGAATATCCGGGGGCCACAGTCTTGGGAGTACCACTGCTAATTACTGAAGCAGAATTTGATGATAATTATTTAAATGTACTTGTCCATAATGTCAAATATTTCCATATATGGTAGAGGTAGACACTTGTAACACCTCATTCTATTATTTTTAGAACTATGGCATTACTTCCACAATGTTCTTCTTATAAGGTATGCTGCAGAAAGAAATGGAGTAAATGTGATTAGTGGACCAGTATTTGATTACAATTATGATGGACGTTTTGATGCTCCAGATGAAATTACAAAGTAAGTAACATGAAACCAAATGGACTCTTTTTGATTTAGCAATAGAGTATCACAGGGGAAAACCCCAGCGTTTTAAATAAAAGCTCAGTATTCTAAATGTTATATAATGCATTTATATACTATTATTATTGACTATCTTCAATCTAATCTATCTATATATTTAGCAAAAATTTTATATGCCAAAAATGTAAACTAAAGGACAAAAGAAGATGTTCCAGAAAAGTTTAGCAAAAATTTTATTTGGCAAGTTTTTGAACTACTGGAAGAAAGAAACGTGATTTTGTAAAGGTAGAAGATAAAGACTCACTGTACTCTCAATAAAGGTAAAACCAGACTGACAATAAGTGAAAAAAGTCAAGTAAAGACTAGGGTAAATTTCACAGGAGGAGTGGACAAATCATAAAAGCATCTCCCAGGAGAGAGTTAAGCTTCATATAGAAAACTAGTCCTGAAAGCTAGGAACAGTTTCCAACAATTAAAGACATTGTCCCTCTGCAAAAAACAAAACGAAACTACTCTTGCTAAATTGTACATTTTAATACTAAACCGGGTCATACATAATAGATTACTGACAATTAGCTTTGAATGTAGCACACAGAGATAGTTTTAGAGAGAAGTTTCGTTAAAACATATAAAGGATCAAACTAAACAATTGTACTACCTATGCCTGTACTACAAGGTCGCTATGAGTTGGAATCGACTCGATGGCAACTGGTTCCTAAGCCTAGATTATGTAAAGTAATGCTTTCCACTTATACTTTCCGATAAAGTAACACTTATGAAACTATTTCAGAGAGTGTGTGCACTTAACTTTTCTGTCTTCCATGAACATTGAGGCCTTCTCCTTGCCCTTGTTTCAGTGTTTATTGATCCTACCTTTCACCGTCTAATAATTCCAGCAAACACTTAAAACTTTACTATGTGATAGGTACTTTTCTAAACACTTAAATGTATTTCATTGAATCCACAAAACAATCCTATGTTAGGTTCTCTTAGCCCCCATTTATAGATGAGTAAACTGAGGCACAGAGAGGTAAAGTAGCTTGTCTAAGTTCCACAATGAATAAGTGGTAAAGTCAGAATATGAATCCAGGCAGTTTGTAGAAGTGCACTGCCAGCACTGGAATCCAGGCTCCTTCATGCCCATCCCCTGCTCTTCCCAGTAGAAAATGCCACTAAAATGTATAAAGTTGCAGACGCTGCTTCTATACAACCAAACACCTTATGGGATTTAGTTTCTTTGGTTTAGAGGTTTAGGGTCATGTTTTCATGGGACATCCCAGATAATTGGCCTACTATCATTTTTAGTACTTCTCTTCTACCTCCTAGTTCATTACATAATGCCTGGGGTCTTAAAAGCTTGCAGGGTACAATAATCGGTCTCTATTCACATGCAGCAGCAGAGAAAGAGGGAGAGTAATGAACAGGAGGAGGAAATGTAATGCATGCTTAATTGCTTGCATGAACAAATGCCTCCTTTTTCATGAGACTGGAAGAACTGGATGGTGCACGGCTACCATTACTGAATATTTTGGTCAAAGATTCTGTAGAAGAATTCTGATTAAAATGGGGGGAAAATAAGGAACAGAATTAAAAAATTCTCATGAAATTCAGATTTTCTAGAGCCACTGAGGCTGGATGAACCCTCAAAAGTGTTACCCTGAGATAATATTTAAACCTTGAACAAAAAATATCCCCTGAAGTCTTCTTGAAAACCAACAATAAGTTAACTTATTTAGTAAAGAATGTTTGCCTTGAACATCATGCTCTTTTGAAGAACCATTTATATGGGATCAAGCTGACAACAGTAACTCAAAAGGTCAGATAGGAAGCTTAGGGGGCAGTGAGATTATGTTATTGTGCGAGGAACAATTCAGAAAAGGAGAGTAAGAATGGTTGCACAACTTGAAGTACGTAATCATTGTCACTGAAGTATATATGTAGAAATTGTTGAATTGGTGTATGTTTTGCTGTGTATACTTTCAACAGCAATAACAAAAAAGTATAAAGTCAACAAACTAGGAAACATAGGATGTGACATACCACACTCTGGTTTTCTTTGTAGACTAGTATTTCCCTAGAATGTTAAAATGACTAAGCTTGGATTTCTACTAGAAATCTCTACAATAGCTAGTTAAAGTCTAAAAATACGTGGGAAGACTCTGTATTTTTATTCACTTTACTGTTTTTTTTTTACCTTGGCATTTCTTTAAAAATATGTAAGGACATTTATAATCTTTAGAAGCAACAGTATAATAACATCAAAACTTTTCAATTATGTTTGTAGACATGTAGGCAACACCACTGTTCCCATCCCAACCCACTACTTTGTGGTGCTGACTAGTTGTAAAAACAACAGCCACACTCCCATCAACTGCCCTGGGTGGCTGGACGTCCTGCCCTTCATCATCCCTCACCGACCTACCAACGTGGAGAGCTGTCCTGTGAGTATCCTTCGGGAGATTCCCTGTGACCTGAGAAAATGATTAGTCAAAGCTCATCCGGGATTTCATAGAAGTGGCTCTGACTAAAATACATTCTTGTAGATGTTTCACAGCTTGAGTTGTGCTGAAAATGATTTTAGGTTTGAGTTTTTCCTTGGATGATAGATCTCTATGTAATTACTATCAATTTAAACATGTATATGCATACATGAACATGTGTATATATAGGCATACCTTATGTATTTTATTTATATACAGCATATTCACACTCATTAATAAGAAAAGGGATGGCATCTTATTGATCTTTTTATTCTGGGTACAAACCTCAATATTCTGTTCCTAAATTGGCACTAAATTAATGTTTACTGAAATGTATATGTAAATATAAAAACTGCATTTAATTTGAGACACAAAGCTCCAGAATGACTGCTAACCTAAATGTTGGTGGTTCAGACATACCCAGCAGTGCTGTGGAAGAAAGGCCTGGTGATCTGCTTCCATAAAGATTATTGTTGATGTCGCTGTTGTATGCCATTGAGTCAATTCTGACTCACTGCAATGTTATATGACGGAGTAGAACTGCCCCATGAGGATTCCTAGGCTGTAATCTTTAGGAGAGCAGATATCTAGGTCTTTTTTCTAGGGGACATGCTAATGAATTTGAACAACTGCCCTTTTGGTTAGCAGTTGAGCACTTTAACCACTGCACCACCAATCCTATGGAGCAGTTCTCCTCTGTAACGTATGGGGTCACCATGAGTTGGAATTGACTCAATGGCATCGGGTTTGATTTATAGTTTTACAGCTGCAAAATAGGTTAGTTCAAGTAACTTGTTCTTTTTTTTAACATGTGTTACACCACCTCAAATCTTTTTTGGATCAAGGCAAATCATATATAAATAGTTACTCCAACTTGCATGTATGTAATTATAGAAGTAAATATATATCCTGTTAATTGGGTTTTGCTGAAGTCATTCAACAATATATCGAGTACCTACCTATTAAGTATACAGTATCATGGTAGAAACTCTTTGGAGTGCACCAAGGAGGGATACATGGCCCCTGTCCTCAAGGAGTTCACATACAATTTTTTTATATATGTGAGATAAAGGCACATAAATAGGCCAGTTAAAATAATACAATAATATTTTAAAAAATTAAAGATATCTCAAAGCTGGGATTAATTGCCCAATCCCACTTTAAGGATTCAGTGTTTTGAATTCCAGGCCAGAGAGGCACTTTCAATAAAAATTTCATAAAATAAGGTGAGAAAAGGATTGGCCCCTGAAGGATGGACAAAATTTGAATAGGTTGAGAGGACAAAGAAGCAGCTTCCTTAAAAGGCGTGAAGAATGGGGTGGATTTGGTAAGTGATTGGATGCAAGAGCCAAAGGAAAAGAGGGGCTTAAAGATAAATTAGACATTTTAAATGTAGGTATTTGGGGAAAAGACAAAAAGAAAGAAGTTAAGAATGAGGAGTATTTTGGCAGGTAAATAGGATAGTTAAGTTTAAGCATGTCAAGCTGTGGAAATGGGGTGTTCACATGGAAAGTCCCATAAACTATTAGGGACTGGAAATTAAAGCTTAGGTTCTAGGCCAGATTGCAATTCATCTATATTTTTTCAGGTGTTCACCAGATTGACTGCCTTCACCGTACTATGTATAATGGAAGGTACATAGATACATCAGACATGAATTCTATCAAAAGGGGCTCACATATCAGAAGAAAGAGATAGGTGGTACAAGAGAGGGACAGATAATTGCTGTGGGATTTCTTTTAGCTGAATCTTGAAGATAAGATCTGAACTTGAGTATGTGAACTGTCCTTCAGTGATTAAAGATGGAGATCAAAGGTTAGCAGTGAGCAGTAGGTCACTCATACTCCTAGAGTGAGGAAGAAGAATTTCCAAACAAGAATCCATCAGGAGATGTTGTCGATTGAATCCCTATTTTTCCTATCAGCACTTTGAGAGAAGCCACCATCCTTCACTTCCTCTTCTAAATGCAGACATTGGTAACTGATATTGTGTGATACTCTTTACTACTGAACCGGTATTAAATAGTTCTTTATCATAGAGGTTCTAGGTAGCCATTTTGGATGATTAGCTTTGGCATGCAAAGAGGAAACTATTTGCTATCCCTTGTGTAGACCCTTGTGACCCTCTCTCATGACTCTTGAAAATGAATCTTAAGTAGCTTCCCTGTTTTCTGTCCTCCTCCCCTTCACCTCTGTACTCTACCATCGATTTGCTCATCTTAAAGTTTCTTATGTCATATTACCTTCCCCAAACTTCTGATTACCCCCAAAAAACTGCCAGCCTACTTTGTGATAATAGAGTTACATTTTAAAGTCAGTAAATCAAATACAATTGTATAAAATCCCCTATAATTAAACCACCCCAAAAGTATAGTATATACATAAACTATTCCTTAATAAGCCCAAAATCAGCCTTTTTTTTTAATTTTTATTTTTTTATTGTACTTTAGATGAAGGTTTACAGAACAAGTAGCTTCTCATCAAACAGTTAGTACACATATTGTTTTATGACAATGGTTAACAACCCCACCACATGTCAACACTGTCCCTTCTCGACCTTGGGTTCCCTATGACCAGCTTTCCTGTCCCCTCCTGGCTTCTAATCCTTGTCCCTGGGCTGTTGTGGTGCCCCGTTAGTGTCGATTTGTTTTATGGGGCTGTCTAATCTTTGGCTGAAGGGTGACCCTCGGGCGTGACTTCAGTACTGAGCTGAAAGGGTGTCCAGGGGCCATACTCTTGAGGTTTCTCCAGTCTCTGTCAGGCCAGTAAGTCTGATCTTTTTTTGTGAGTTGGAATTTTGTTCTACTTTTTTCTCCAGCTGTGTCTGGGACCCTCTGTTTTATCCCAGTCAGAGCAGTCAGTGGTGGTAGCTGGGCACCATTTAATTGTACTGGACTCAGTCTGGTGGAGGTCGTGGTAGTTGTGGTCCATTATTCCTTTGGACTAATCTTTCCTTGTGTCTTGTTTTCTTCATTCTCCCTCACTGCCAAGGGGTAAGACCAGTGGAGTATCTCAAATGGCTGCTTACAGGCTTTTAAGACCCCAGATGCTACTCACCAAGGTAGAATGTAGAACATTGTCTTTATAAACTGTGTTA